AAATTATCATTTTATCTGCCCCAGTGTTGCTCGTAATATAATTTGCAACAAATCAGATAACAGTTAATGTGGGCTGTCATGCAATTAATAATCAAACCCCAAAGCACTACTTAATTCCAATATAAATCAACTGCTTGTACCATATTCACAACTGCATCTTATTTCCTCCAACATTTTATATGAAAAATAAATCACAGTCAGTCTCTCTGGCAAATCTTCCAAGAGACAATTATTCTTTTAAGCTAATGAAATTAGTCAATTTTCCAAGCAAGGACTTCTGTGTGACCAGCTGGCTTGAATATACCACTTAAATTCATATTAGACAATACCCATATTATTTTCCCAGTGTTTCAAATCTTTTATTCATCAGAACAAATGCCATGGCCTTATACAAAGAACTTGCATCGCAAATAAGACTGTTTATTCAAGTTTATATATATGCATTTGGGGAAAATAGGAAAATCAGTATGACAGCTTTATATTTATACTTCCATAATGTAGAGAGTACTGTTCTGAAGACAGGTTCATCTGGATACGATTTAGCAGCAGATATGTTCAGGTATATTGTCAGGTAACAATACAAGCAGTACAACTAGCACATGCTTCAGTGTTCTTCAACAGGGTGCAGATTAAACTTTTATGCATTTTTGCTCTGGCTAGTCCTGTCACACACCCAATGGGCAAGTATGACCTTTTACTTTCTTTGGACATTTATTTAGGACCATGCAAAACTTGGCATGTGGCCATACGATTATGTTTTGCACCCTGCTTTGAGAGTAATAAAAAGTATGAGAAGTCTGCATATGACCTAAATTGGACAAAAATCGAATCTAAGACTTGAAACACAGAAACTAACATGCAGATCAACTTTCACAAAACTGATTACTTAAAACCATTATTATTAAATTGGTATTATCTTTATCTCTGTTCTGAAACACAGGTGTTAATCTACTTAATTCCATTTTTACCATAATAATACTAATAATAATATAAATTATTGCGACAACCTTTATCAATTTTCATATACTAAGAAAGAGACTCACTGTCCTTATTGCCTTTTTGCCATGAAATCTTAATGAGACCTAGTACTATACATGTACTTGAATAAAAATCCATTTCACTTTTTTAGAAATCATATCCAACTATAAGCTACACTTTTTAATTTGATTATAAGATTCTATAATACTCAGTGCCATCACAATCTGAAATATATAACTCTTTCTAAACATGACAGCACAATCCAAAAACACTTTTAAAAAATGTAGTATAATGTACATGTAAAAGTTATTGCAGAAAGCTTAGAAAACATCTGGGTGGTGCTAACACTCCTCAATTTAGCCAAATGCTAAAACTGATTTATGCTGGCTTAACAAAATAGGGTTGATTTGACTTGTTTTTATCAAATTTAAACTATTAAGAGAAAAAAGTGATGAAAAAGTAAAGATTTGTCTACACGAAAAAAAATTTTAATGCTACCCCAGAATCGGGTATTGATCTTGCTTTTTTCACCTTGAGTAATCTAAATTAAACGCGATGCAAAGAGTCACATGTGCAACTACCTTGTGATGGGGTATCATGTGCCACATATGGCTTAGATTGACTGGACTTGCACATGTACATGTAGTAGCAGCCAACCAATCAAGCACTGCAGTGGAGAAGTAGGGAAATTGGTAAAATGGTAATCGTCTATGACCAAATATGATAAAATTCATATTGGAGCAGACATTTAGGGTATTTAAAAAGGGGGTCCTTTATGTGTTAAACAAATGAGTTTTTTTTACTGTACCAGGTAATATTGGCAGAATCCCAACTTATCATTTTTTATCATAGGATTGCATGTTTATCCTAAGAACTTGGTTTCTTTTTACCAGCCACCACATAGTCAGGTCAATTTGCTGCTCATGATGTCACATGCAACCAACTCATACAAAGGGCACATAAGTAATTCATTTGCCAAGTTGAATAATAATCACTTTTTTCTTTACTTTGAAGAAAAAAATATGCTGAAGGATTAAAACAACCAAAACTAATATACTGGGTATCAGAACATATCCAACCTGAACAATAGACCTGGTGTTGGTAAATTGAAAGCAATCAACTTTATTTCCCCATTTTTATTTCAATCAACTGACAAGAAAAAAAAAACTTAATCTGAGTTTCTAAACAAAATGCATGTAGAATTTTTGGCTAATGTAAGCAATGAACAAAATTAATGGCATTTGCTGGTGCTGGTGACACGATGTTATTGTTGACATTTACATTGAAATTGGATATTTGAATAATTATGTAATGTACTGTTGTGACGCGACAACCTCCACCTACGAGCAATACCAGAAGGCACAACAGTATAATGAATTGTTTTTGGATAAGAAACATATATAACTTATCAAACAGTCGATACAAATTGCATGGAAGACGCATCAGAGGTTTAGCTTACCAGATTAAGTGAAGAATCGCTAAAGCAGAGGCCGATATCACCAGATCATCTGAGCCAATCGACCAACGCCGATTAAAAACGACCAGACCAGGCATTTTACAGTAACTTCCAGTGCCACTTTAGTTCCAAGTCCTTCACGGCATATTGAGTATTCCACGCTATCGGAACAAGTTGAAGATTGACTCGAGCATTTAAGAATTTGAAGCTTTGCTGGTCGCCGCCATTTCGTTGATGACACAACCAATCGATTGGCAGCGCAGCTGGAACAGTCGTTGAGCATTCCCAGTGGATTTTTTCCAATAGAGGTCATTGACGAAAAACAATATCATGTAGTCTATAATCTGTAATTTATTTCATCAATTTTGCATATTTTTGGAGTGGTGTTATTATTTTTAAATTGTTTTGTTCTTTCTTTATTTATGTTTATTGCGCACCTGTTTTTTGCTGCGGGCTTGCTTTTGGAGCGGAAGTAGTAAAAACAGACAAAAAGACCAAAAATGATTATTGCTCAGGTAATATACTAGTTGTACGGAGTTCACCACATCACATACACTAACAAGAGCGTTGAGTTTTCAGTTCACAACCTAACCGATTTGACATTTCCTATATTACTTTTAACAGACGTCACCGTAGAGTCTACTAGTACAAGTACTGTGTAATAAAAAAATAAAAACAAAGTCACATTGAGTAACTATGTCGTTAATGGTAACTTTCGTGTAAGTTTTGCTTGCAATTCCACTTCCATTCAATAGCTTTAGACTTGTTTTTTATCTGTGGATATATTTTATGAAGGTTGTTCGTTGTTATTATTCCTATCTATCGTAGTGACATAAAAGTTTGATGTGCTATTTTTTAACTATATTACTTTCAGATTATCATTTCATGACAGTATGGAATAACTGAAATGAAACAACTTGCATAAAACATCTGGATTGTACTTAACAGTTGTAGTTCTCAAAATGCCAACAAGATCAAGATCTACCAGGCTTGTTTCCAACAGATACAGGACACATTACATTATTTTATTTCTTATTATTTTGATATTCCTTCTGGTAACAGCTTTTGTTCAGTTTTGGCCAAACACATTCACAGGGAAAGCAAGAGAAAGAAGAGACTTAAATAGTCTTCACAAACTAGAAAGAAATGCTCAATCTGTGGTAATTAAATCAAATGCCCCTCTGGCAAAAGAAAGAGACAGCGACTGCATATATCACACCTGTTTTGACGTCTATGGATGTGGAGACAATGATGGAGACCACAGAATCAAGGTGTATATTTCTCCTCTTACAAAATATGTTGATGAAAATGGAATATCAATAACACTGCCTTTGTCACAAGAGTACTTTGAGATTCTTGAAGCAATAGTCGAGAGCGAATACTTTACATCTAGTCCCAATGATGCTTGCTTGATTGTACCACCTATTGATTTATTGAATCAGAACAAACTAAGAGTGGATGAAACATCCCAAGTTTTAGCATCAATGCCAAGGTTTGTATATACATATTTGTTGTATTGAATGTTGTAGTAATTTTGAATTGTGTTTAGACAAAATGTCTTGAATGTAAAGATGTTTTTTACATAAATAAGAAATGTTATTTAAGACAAGTCTTTTTTGTATGATATGTCTAAGTATTGAAAAAAGTGGTTAAATAATAAAAATGCAGAATTTAATTCAAAGTTTGTTTACATCTTTATATAGCTGTTCTTGTTGTTTTGTTCATAAAATGTTTTTAAATTTTATTTTTTTAGATGGAATGAGGGTATCAACCATTTACTGTTCAACATGCTGCCAGGAAGTGTTCCCGATTTTAATACAGTATTAGATGTTAAACATGACAAGGCAATCATTGCTGGGGGAGGTTTTTCTTCTTTTACATACAGAAGAACATATGATGTTTCAGTCCCAGTTTATAACCCATTGGTGTCTGATAAAAAGATGCCAAAGAAGTCATATCTGTAAGTGAAAAAATATTCAACAGATTTTATTTACTACTTAAATTTGGTCTTCCATGCACATATTTTCATTTTATTTTTTAGCATAATGGAATCAAAGTGAAAACATTACAGTTATCTTTTATAATTTTTATGACATAGATGTTTGATGAATATAATATTAAAGTACATAATTCAAGTTACTAACTTTTTATGTCAGGGAAAACAGAAGATGGCTGGCAATCTCTGCCCAAGCTGGAATCATACCAGACTATCGTAAACAATTATCAGACATGTCCAGACAGTATCCTAGTGATTTCAAGGTGCTTGATAAGTGTAAAGTGTTTGATGATGGCACATTCAACCATACTGTTAGATGTGATGGAGAAAAGGAATATTCATACCCTGAAATTTTACAGGTACTGGCATGACTGTGGTTGTATCAGCACACGAGTCTAATCTAATCCATTACATCATGTTCATAATTTTTTTTTTATTGTGAAAGCCCTAATTATCTATTATTCTGTGATAATTTGTACTTAAGAAGAATGATGAAGTATTTCTAACATTATTAAAAAGTAGTTAAGCTATGTACTATTTCTTTCACATTTAATGCAAAATGTAGTTTGTCCAGGGTTCATGTTTCATTTGTAAAACTTCTTAAAGTGACAAATTAAGTGTCAAAAATTCTGTGATACTTGGAGGCACAAATTTATTGGCACATTCCAGGAAGCCACCTTCTGCACTGTGGTCCGTGGTGCTAGACTAGGCCAGACTGCACTCAGTGATGCCTTGATGGCAGGGTGTATCCCTGTAGTCTTTGCAGATACTTTTGTTATGCCTTTTTCTGAAGTCTTGGACTGGAAAAGGTAATGAAACTCAAAAATGGCGTGTTTGAAATACTTCATAAAATTAATATTTATATTTACATAAAATAAATATAAAATATTTAGTCTTCTTCCTGTGTGAATCACGGATTTCATTGTAGTTATTTGCATCTTTTAAATGTAACAAGTTAAAAGAAAATATATTAACATTTGTTTCATCTGCTCTTTAGAGAGATTACTTGATTATTTTACATAAATAAAACCTCAAAAAGAATCAAAATGCAATAAAAGTTGAAAATAAATGTATCAATTTTTCCACCCTCAGGGCAGCCTTGGTGCTTCGAGAAGAGCAACTGCCAACAATGATGTCCATTTTGAAAAACATATCTTCTGAACGGATTCGTAACATGAGGAGACAGGTGCAGTTCCTGTGGCAGAACTATTTCAGTTCCATGAAGGTGATAGCTCTGACCAGTCTGCAGATTATCAATGACAGAGTGTTCCCATATGCATCTAGAAAGTATGATGAATGGAATGAGTTGCCTGAAAATGTAAGTCAGATGGAACAAAATGATATTTAAGTTGTTGTTATAAGTATATATTTTTATAAAAACAAAGAACACAGTCAATAGCTCCAAGTTGTATTTAATTGAAAAGAGTGCACATTTGATTGATAACTGGCAAGTATTTAACTGAAGTATCACATAGATTTGAAAAGGAAAAGGAAATTTGATACATGATTAAACTATTTCAAACAGTGGACTATTTAGTAATATGCATTTGAAGAAAAAAATGTATCGTTATAATTAAATCACTAGATATATTGCCACCATCATTTAGTTGATAATAATGAATAAGACATTTTATTTCAGAGAGGATTGACTAGCCCACTCTTTTTCCCCATGATGCCTTCAAAAGCACAGGGATTCACAGCTGTCATCCTAACATATGACAGAATTGATTCTTTGTTTCAAGTTATCAGACAAGTTGCCCAGTCACCAAGTTTAGCTAAAGTTCTTGTCATATGGAACAATCAGAAAAAATCACCACCGCCTGGTGGGTATATGCACCAGATTTATGAAATAAATGATTAAGATTGTTATACATTTTCATAATTTTCACAGTAGTTTGCTCTCAGTCATTCTTACACAGTTAAACATTTATTTGTGATTATCTTACATTATTTTCTCCATTTCAAAAATTATAACAAATGTTCTTTTTATTCTGTTTAGCTTCTAGTTGGCCTAAGATTGGTCCTCCATTGAAAGTAATTCAAACCACACAGAACTTGCTCAGCAACAGGTTTTATCCACATGAAGAGATTCAAACTGAAGCCATCTTAGCACTAGACGACGACATAGTCATGCTGACATCAGATGAATTGGAGTTTGGTTATGAGGTATGCATTATTAGAATTTCAATATACATTCTTCCAATGTTACCCAGTAGAGAAATTGCATCTTATTGTCATTAAAGTAAAAAAAAAAGAACCTGTCCTATTAGTTGATTTGCAAAAATAAACATGTGGAATTTTATGTTTTGTAATTTTGGTTTAGTCCTGTGGTTATTGTTATTTTTATGTACAGACACAGATGTGTCTGTACATATTGCCATCACCTGCGTCTGTCGTCGCCGATGCCGTCGCNCTATAAAATTTCTATAAAAGCAAATGTACACCAGTCTACCTTGTTTCCCCCCTCCCAAATGCCAATACAGATTTCACACACAAAAAAAGTAAACTTTGAAACAATATGCCACTTTCAAATGCCAATACAGATTTTGCAAAAAGTAGACTTTGACCAATATGTCAGCTAGATCTTCTGCTTCAAATTACTGAATTCGAATGTCTTTCAACTGCAGGCATCTGTTCAAAGATGATGTCTAGTATATTGATGTCTAGTATATCTCCTGAATAGAGGCTTTTCACCTGGATAGCCTCATTGCCTGATGAAGATGCTCTGCTAGACATGAAAATATCAGAGGTAAACTATTTCAATATTTAGCTGTTGATTGAAGGAATAAAATCTTTTTATTCTTATAACATCACACAGCTGATGAAATTCTTTTCAGGCTTCTATTTTGCTGCTGACTCCTCCAACTCAATCTGGAACCTCTACCGCCTAAGCCAGCACTGGATGCTGTATCATCTAACATATTCCACATCATTCCCAGTCTTAGACTGCATTCCCACAGATTTAGATCAATCCATCTGGATCGACCTAACTCCCTGGAGGTTCATGCTAAATTGCTGTCAGCCGAGCACCCACTATATTTAATTACCCCCTTACAGCTTTTAGTAGGCGGGACAGACATTTAAGACGGTTAAGCTGACACCAATCTAGTGAGACTCCCCAGGGGGATAGATCAATCTAAAAATCTACGGGAATGCAGTCTTACACACTCTGTTTGTTGCATTAAAACAAAATGTAGTTCTTTACAGGCTTTTTATGCAATCCTTTGTGTTAAGTAAACTCTTCTATGAGTTTGGAGATAATGCAGTCTGTATAGTTAATCCATGCATATCCGCTATTTCTTGTTCTAGAGCCTGAAATGAAAACAAAAATCTGATATACGTAAGTGTCTGTGTTTTTTGTAATAAAAATAAAGTTATCACAAAATTTGCATAGTTGTTCTCAAAATAAATTTTGAAACAATTTGTATAAATAATGTAAGTGGAGAGCCTAACTGTGCAAATATTTTCTTAAAATGTGCCAACAGAAGAGAGATAGATATATATGCCTTGTTCTTCACATCTTATTACTCTTTTTCTTTTAATTACCTTCCGAAATAACATTAGAAAAAAAAAAAAAAAAACTCTGGCCTACCTCTGTCACCATTCTATGCTGTTGAACTATTCTTTTTCCTTTAAAATCTGGAGCTTCTACATACACCTGATACATACTTCCACAGCTACCTGGTGGACAAAACAGATACTACCTACATTATACTTTGGTTGATACATGTACTATGAAAAAAAAAAAAAATAATAATAAGGGCTGCCAAGTCACCCACATTCTAAGTCGATGAATTCTGAAAGGGATTAGTATAATCATCCACAATTCACTCATCATATAACGACACTTAAATATAGAAATAGTGAAAGTATTATATATCAAAGCAGCAGAGCTATCAAAAGTACAGACAAAGGTAAGTATTATATAAACCAATACTGTTTAAACACACACACACACACACACAAAAACTAAAAGTAAATATCAATGGATATTGTTGTTGCATAAAGGAGTTTGATACATACCAATCAGGCCTGCAGGCAGTGGGGTTTGGGGGATTTACAGGTACCCACTGACAAGTACCATCAGAAAATGACTGGGTAAAATTTGATTTAGGTACATGAAGGTTTCATGGTAAAGGGTCCATTTTCTCAGAAAGAGAACCCCCTTCTTTGATCCGGCTGGCTACAGGCCTGTCAGTACATATTATACAGAGCTTACAAGGAAGAGATATTCATCAGTAAATCTATGAAAATTATCAAGCTGAAAACTAGTTGAAGTAAACCTAGAGTTTTCCTTTTATATTCTTGTAAAGATTAAACTGAAATTCCATTCTCCAGTACAAACATCATAAAACAATTATATTGTTACAATGTCAGTAAAATATCCATATTCCAATTTTTATGTAATTAACAATTCACAATCATGACATTATTTACCTGGCATGGCCTCTAGTACTCTGATATCTGTGGCCTTAGGAAACTTTTGTTTCAGAACCTCAGTGATTTTGCTTTCCCCAGGAGTCATTTGAGGTGGACTTTCTGAACCCGTGCTAAAGCTTTGTAACCTGCATGCTGCAGTCCATGTTGGAGTTTGGTAAAAAGATCTCAACAACTGCAATGAAAATCAAATAACTACTACTCTATAACTATATAACTACTACTCTAAAAGGCCATTTCAATTTCCCTATTACAGTGGCAGGGTCGATCTATCTCCAAGGGGATTCTCACCAAAATGCATTCAGTTAAAGTGTGCACGAAAGCTAATTACCCCCCTAGCAGCTTTAATGGGTGTGACAGTCATTTGAGCTGCTTAAAGTGAATGCAATTTAGCAAGAATCCCCTTGGAGTTAGATCGATCCTGCTGGTATGACATGTTTATGGGAACCCAGTCTAAATCTGTCTATAGTATTGCTCCAAAATAAGTGTATGCAGTGTGATCATTTGTGAAAAAACATACTGTACAGTACAAAGATTTAAAAATTATATATAAACCATGCAAAGCACACAAAACATGGAATTGCTTGATCACTGCATGATGAAGCACGAAAATTCATGCGTTAGCACTCCTATTGACGATTCTGATATGTATTGTCTGTGCTAAGGTTGCAAAATGTGGCCAGTTGCAAAATGCGGCTCCACTTGCATTTATGTGAAAATCAGCTGTTCTGAGGGTTGGGCTTAATATGTACTCAAACTAAAAAGGGACATTTTCAGTCCATATCCTAGCAGTCAGTCATGTTTATTCCTGCCATAAGGTAGCTGCTAAATGCTTACATAGAAAGGCTAGGCAGATACAGTGAATCTTTTGTGCAAAAAGAACAACCCCCAAAAAACAGCACAGACAGTACATATGGGCATTTTTACAATCCTGGGCTCCTTTTTTTCCCACTAAGGGTCAAAAATAGAAGTCATTATTGTGTTGAAATTTGTACTTTTCTTGAAAGTATAGACCTGAAGGGTATAAGAAATGACAATCACGAGATAAAACCTTGTGTATGTATAAAGATATGATTATATGAATTTTGAAAATCATTTTTTTTATTTTCATAAGCTAAAACTTGAAGTGTGTGATTTTTATGGTAACTTAAGGTATTGACCTCCAAAAAACCACTTAGTTTTACTCAGTGAGTATTGCTCTTTTATGTATTTGCAAAAAAAATGGATGAAAATATCCAAAATTTGACGAATCAATGATATTTTGTAATTTTCCTGTTTCAGTATTAAATGTGACTCCATGAAGTTTTTGATTCTGAGATATTCTGAGGACTTCTGTACTTCTCTTTACCTTGCATTAGTTCTTTATGTAATGCTTCATGACTGTGTAAAATATTATTTTGCACGGACATGTGTGCTAATTGCAGTGCCATGTTAAAATAAATGTCCTTTCTGAAACATCCCTGTTTCGGAAAGGACATTTTTTTAAACATTTATGATATTGTTTTAATATATTGTAGTATTTGAGTTTATAAGTTTTAGGTGAAGTCTATGAATAACTGGGCAAAATAGGTGGAAGCTGAACTAAAATTGAAGTCTTTTTATTACATTTTGTGCTTGTTTTGTCTATTCTGTACTAGTAATTCATTACTGGAATTTTATTTTATTAAATATTGTTTCTGAGATATATTCCAGGTATTCTTTACGCCATTATACCTTATTTCAGTTTCTTTTGATACAGTTCATAGCAGTATAAAATATTATTTGACAATGTCAGATTTACCAACAGTAAAGACATGTTAAAAAATATGTCCTTTTAGACATGTCCTTGTTTCGGAATGGACATTATTTAACATTTCTGAAATTGCTTTAAGATCTCATAGTATGTTGGTTTACAAGGTACAGGTGAAGCAATCATTGGACAAAATATGAGTAAACTAGATTAAAACTGAACTGTTTTTATTACATTAATTGGTCATTTTGGATAGTTTTTGATTCTTTTTTTGAAATGTTACTCCATTAGTATTTGATCATGATTTAAAATAAAGTCTTCTACACTCCATTATACCCTATTCTACTTCCTTTTGTTACAGCTCATAGCTGTATAAAATATTATTTGACAAGGTCAAGTTTAAATTTAGTAATTACATTTTTAAATATGTCCTTTTAGGCATGTCCTGTGTTTCGGAATGGACATTTATTTAACATTTACAAAATTGCTTAAATGATATATATAAATAGATGGATGGATAGATAGATAGATAGATTGATCATGATGTATGTATATATTATAAATAATCACAGGAAGTTAATTATAACCTGTCTGCCTGCAAGCGCCTCTGTAAACCGTGTCAGTGAACTGACTCTCGCAACTTTAACATGTGTAGCCTCATAACTATTTTCGAATACTTTTATGTACACCATAAGTAAGCAATATTTAAAGTAAGGTACTAGTAAGCTATATTATTTAAAATTATATTCTACATAAATTTGATGTGCTTCCCATCATGCTCTTCCTCATGAATAATAAATAGATGAGCAGACCAAAGAGTAAGCAAGTGTTTTAGACAATGTGTTAAAAAAAGTCCTTTCCGATACAAAGCATCCAAATTGCCTATATTTCTATTTATACTGATATAATCTCTTCAATTAATTGTTAATTTAACTTTGAAATACATGGACTTTGGGAAAATATGCAATGGAAGTTTTAGTAGATCCAAATAAAAGATGCTGACTCGCAAAAATGAATTTTTTAGTTGAGGATATATATAGAAATTTAAAAAGATGCCATTGAAAAAATGTTTTTCTATTATTTTTATGTCATATGCATGATGCATGATGCTCTAACAGTAATTTGCTCATGTCAAGTGAAACATACAGCATTAAAGACAGAATTCTCTCTATTTACAACATTGGCAATGTAAAGGTACTTTGTTTCGGAATGGACAATTTTTAACAAGCACCTCAAAAAAGGCCACAGTTAAATGGGTTTCTGTGCACTGGGGTTTTCTTATTTAAAAATAAATATCACATGTCCTGGGCTTTAGAGAAATATATATTGTTACAGGCTAGGTGTCAACATGTTCTTTTTATGTAAGAGAAACCCAATGTTTCAGAATGGACAAATTTAACGGAAAAACACGGTAGGGTTATTTTGCACTCCATGTCAAGCTCCAGAATCATCGCGCAGATTTCATTGTTTGATACAAACAATACCAATACATCCAAATAATGATTAGGATGGTTAATTATACTGTATGTTTTATGATATATTTTCTGAAAGTCATTTATTTTTGTTTTGGAATGGACATTTCGTTTAACGGAAATACCAGCATGCCATTAAAAGACTTTTTTTTCTAGGATACTACTCTCTCCTGTTAATATTTAAACTTTTTTGCTTCCACCATACTACTGAGTGTTTTATAATCCAAAAAAATGCAATGTCAAACACTGTTTTAATTTATTTCAGATTGCTTTTTATTTCATATGACTAAAACGGGAAAAATTTTTGGTCATTTTTCGGGCTTTGCTTTAGCATAACTTTGGATTCGGTGGTGATATTTGGTTCCTATTTTCAGTGTTTATCTTCATTTACACCATTCTCTAACAAAGTGATAAAAGAATTCTTTGATCATATGTATGTAATTTGTTAATTAGCAATATGTGGGAAAATCTGAAAAGTGCCCAGGATTGTAAAAATGCCCATATCAGAATCTTCAATAGGAGTGCTGATGCATGAATTTTCGTGCTATGCACGATGGCATTAGACAAACGGTGTCTCAAGCATAGTTATAAAATAACGAAAAAATGCTGATAAGGTACTAGTAGACACACACACACACACACACACACACACACACAAAAAAAAAAAAAAAAAACAAAAAAAAACAAACTGATTTTATACATATAGTAGATAGAGAAGAAAAACGGCAGATTTTATAACACTGGTAAACATACAAGAATAACCAATCTTGATGGAAAAAAAAACTGTCAAAAGTATTCGGAATTTTTTATTGAGTAATTTATCATGTGGATATAGAAGGTAAAGTAATGGCACATTGTAATTTGTTGTCTCGTGTATGGGGCTACTAAGTATATTGCCAGAATTGATATATACATGTACATGTTCAGAATTGATATGATGTAACATATATACATGTATACTGTAGTATACAATAGGATTCTTTATTGATACACCTTCACAAATAAGGTACAAGCAAAGGCAATTACATCTAACTACAACAGTACAAACAAGTATATAAATAAATATACATGATTTTAATGGTTACATGCAGCATAAGATCAATAAGTTAATTTATAAGAAGTTATATATGGAATGTATGATGATAATCTATATATGTAGGTGATCAACAGGTACAATATCAACAGGTATGAAAACACGTTATGATTATAGAAACAACGTTGTTAGGTCAATCTGTGTACGTTGTTTTATAGCACGGTCTACTATACCTGAAGACAGGCTCGCCGACAAACTGTTATAACATTCATTTTGTCTGCAAAATTTACTGAAATCCCTACCCCAGCAAACGTCCTCCAGTCACTGCACGTTATGTATATTTGAGTGAAAGTACCCAATGGCGATTCGTCGTAAAATGGCCTAATTATTTTCAAACCCGTCGAAATGCCTCATAGCTACGAACAGCATTCTAAAACTGATCAGCATGTTTTCTGGAGTATATGTACTAACCAAATATGTAACAAAAGATCTCGGAAAAGACGACAATCACAAGTTAAACATTTTCGCGCGCAGAAACTGGGTCATTAATATTTAAATATGGCAGCCTCCTGGAGCTGGTCGCACAAACTATGCCGTGCACTTCTTATACGTTGTCCGGTAAGAAGCATTCTTGAAAGCTAGTTCTGTAAAACAGCATGCCTGCTCGATAGTTGCTGATTTTATGTAGTATGCATTTAAAACCAAAGTTCATGTATTGTGTCGGTCTACTTGTTTGACTTTTGAACTTTAGGTTGTTCAAATTGTATACATTGTGTACAGTGTAGGGTCTGTTCTTTGCTAACAAGGTTTATGTTCATGTACCCCTGATGTTCCGTATCTTAGGGAGTAACAGTGATAGGTTAGTCTGGATCCTGGGAAGTAACCATACAGTGACGTAAAGATAAGAAAAGTTATTAAAAAAGCTCATGATTGTTCAATATTTTTGAAAGCACACTGTTAATTGTAGCTTTTACACCTACTTTTATTTATTTATTAATTTTATTATTCCTTTCCAGACAGCCAAAAATGGCAAACCTTTCAAACCACACACTGTATCTAGGGCTTTCAGTATTAGTCATACCTACCAAAGTGATGACAGAACCCAACATTTCCAGCCTCAAAGTGCCCCTATGCTGCCAGCTGGGGCCTTCTCAGGAAAGGTAGCGATTGTTACAGGTGGGGGCACTGGGTTGGGGAAGGGCATGGCTGCCAGGCTCTCGGAACTGGGGGCACAGGTGGTGATAGCTAGCAGGTGAGCACCCTACCTTACTTTTCCTTACTTTCACTCCATGCAACCCCCCACACATTAACCAACCTCCACACACCACTCACCACATCCACCCTCACACATCCCTCCTTTACCCCCCACTTAACCTTTCCACATCAAACTTCACACCCCCTCCTAAATCACCCCCCCCCACCCCCAACCCCCCTCTCATTAACTTCCACACACTCCATAAAAACCATCCCCATTGGTGGGTATGGGTGGACACATGGCCTGTACTGTATACGTAGTAGTGTACTAAATGACAACAGGGCTTTGACTTGACTTACAGGAAATCAAGAATATGTGTGTGTAGTATAATGTGTGCTCAGACATATCTTTTTCTGTCTTTTTCAAAAGAGAAGGTCAGAATAGTCAGGATTTAGAATAAGTGCAGTCCCATAGATAATTTTCATTCAGTTTGCTATGCACTCGTGGAGCAACCTGTATTTTTTTTACATAGAGCCACCCATCTTCATCTTATGTATGCCTTAAAAAAAGATAAAATATGTTACTTTAAATGTCATCTTACAGAAATTTTGAAGCGCTGCAGAAGACTGCAGAAGAAATTGCAGACAAAACAAATAACAAGGTAAAATGTTCTTGGTTGGCAACTTGGGAGGGATAATTCTTACGAAACTTTTTTTTTTTTTCATTGAGTATGTGAATATATTTCATGATTTCTTCTTATTAATGAAATATAAGTGTCATTGATTTCATCATGATGAAAGTGGAAGCTCTGGTGTTGCACTGTTTATAACAAGAATTATCTTTTCTGATATCCTTATATAATATATTCATTCAATCAGGTCTTTCCTATACCAATGAATGTGCGAGATCCAGAAAGTGTAAAGGCCGCCATAGATAAAATGGAGGAAGTGTGCGGACTGCCTCATGTTGTGATAAACAATGCGGCAGGAAACTTCATCTCCCCCACAGAGAGGCTGTCGCCCAATGCATGGAAAACGGTGGTGGATATTGTGCTGAATGGAACAGCTAACGTCACACTGGATGTAGGAAAGCGATTGATCAAAGCTAAGCAGGGTTAGTTGTGTAGGAATGGAAACTGGGACACACCCATTTTTGTGTTTTCTCTTGTGTTTTTCAGTTTATAGCCTGCTTGTGAAAAGTATGCTTGTTGTTTAAAAAATAGTTTAAAAAGTAGAAAAACTGAAAAGAGAGACTGTTCAACTGAAACAAATTATTTTATTCCAATATAATTAATTATTCTTACAAATAAACTTAATGCCCTGATCATACTGAGTGTATATACAGTGGGGGATGCATCAGCTTTAGATTCAGAAAACAACTTAACGATGCATTTTTAATAATTTTACCAGGGCATGTATATTTAACTTATGAATTATGCAAGCTTTTTTAATAACTTCACTTTAATTTTCTTGAATCTGATAGGTGCAGCTTTTCTTGCTATCACTGCCACCTACACTAGTAGCGGCTCTGGATATGTTGTGCCCAGCGCAGCTGCCAAGGCTGGTGTAGAGGCCATGACTACGTAAGAAACTAGAAGAAAACTTTTGATCATATAAGGAGTAGATCTTCCCAAATATAAAAATTTCAAAAGCAGATCTCATGCACTTTCTAAACTGTTAAACAAACCTGAGTTTTTTCCCATCCTAGGATAGTTTAGCTTTTGGTGATTACCCATTGATAAAATAATAATTATCTTATGATAATTGAGCTGCCTTGGCAGGGGACTATGTTGTCTGAATGCTATCTTGATTTAATTTTTATAGGATATTATTATAATGTAGATTAAAAACAAAAAGTGTCATACAGGTCTTATGTCTTAAAATTGTAATCGTGAGAACTGGAAAGAAAAGAATACATCCTAAGGGGCCAGCATTTGTTTTTTAGCTCCCTGGCAGCAGAGTGGGGAAAGTATGGGATGAGGTTCAACTGTATAGCTCCTGGACCAATTAAAACTAAGGTAACATTGGTTGCTATGACAGCAGGCAGTTTAGAATACAAAACTCATATTGGATGGATAGGTTGTTAGATGGGGAGAAAGCACATTATAGTGCATTTTGTCTTCTTTGTGATTTTTGTGTGTAACAACATTTCAAAATTTTAAAACTTATTAAACTTATTATAGACTTACCCTACCCTACACGTTTGTATAAGATGCTACATTTTACTTGACAATGCAATGTATGCATTGGAATGATGGGAAAAAGAGTGAAAAAATACAATCTTCCAGTTTTCATCATTTCTTGAAAGTTTCGATTTCTTGAAGGGTGAGTCTACAGCTAAGAATGTTGAAACACATGAAAATTTTACTTTGTCCTTCATTTGTTTAGCATAATTAAATGAAACACTACAACATGTGGCCAAAAATCTATATCTGAGCCTGACCCTATATATTGAAGTGAAATTGTAATATTTCCATACTTTTCATTGATTCTTAGGGTGCCTTCAGCAGATTGGACCCAACTGGTGAGTGGGAAAAAATGATTGAAAAAAGGAACCCCACGAGACGTCTCGGAGAAATAGAAGAACATGCCAACCTTGCCAGTTATGTTGTCAGTGACTTTGCCAGTTGGTTAACAGGATCTGTGAGTACATCTCCTTCCTCCCACCCCCCCTTCCCCCTCACCACCCTCCCTCTCTTCCTTTTTTCCTCTCATTCTTGACTTATTTGTATTAGGTAAAATTTTGATATTCCTTCATTGGTGATTATATATTACAATGTTGATAATTCCTGATGTGGCTATTGTTAGATTGTAAATTTTAGATTTTTAAAGTATAAACTGAAATTATTGATTCCAAAAAATGATCTTTAATGGACACTTTTGTAACTATAGTATTCAGTTTTCCTCTTACTTAAAGCAGGTGTTTCACTGATTATGCTGATGGTTAATTTTCAACCAGTGACATTATTGAATTTATTTACTCCAGGTCATTCGTTTTGATGGAGGAGAATTCCCTTCTTTGGCAGGAGAGTTCAACAGCATGGACATGATTCCCCCTGAGCAGTGGGATATGTTGGAGCAGTTAATTAGACAGACAAAGGGGTCTTAAGCCTGTGCAATACTTTAAACAACTTTCTAAATATCATTTTTTTAGTGATGTTCAAAATGTTAAAAGATCAGTATTCAATAAATGTACAGATTATTGCTTCAGCAAAATAAGGCAATGCATTTATACACTAAAAGTCTGAAAAAAAAAAACAGATAAATCATATCTCTCAACAATTTTCACACTTTAAATTAAAAAAAAATTTGTTTTAATTTAAGAACTATACATTTTGCATTTGGTAGACAAACAAAAATAAGTAATATGTGATGCCCACAATTAATTCAATCTATTAATTATTCAGAGCATAAAGAAGAGGGACAATCATTTAATGAACTACTTTTTTATTTTTCTTTCAAAAAAAAAAAAAACATGCCTTAGCAAACATTCTTTTTTGCACTTGTAAATATTACATATGGATTTGTGTAATGTTGTGATTAGAAACACTTTCAGAATCTTATATTCGGAATCTTATGTTTATATATTTTGTATTTACTGGATAAACTTCTTACAGTGTTTAGTAGAAATTCCATAAATCTCAAGGTAATTCTATGCACATTTCAGCACCGTGAAAACAACAAGAATTTTTTAACAGAATTTCAGAAATGATGACGCCACACAGTTGGCCTCTGGTTCAGAGTTGTTTTAAATGGGGTCATCTCATTGACAGTATGCAGCTTTGCTAGGTAAAGTTCTGATATCTAGAACATTTCAAAAACATAATTTGCAGACCAACAAGTGATAATGAATATGATGAGTCTGATAAAAGAACGGCAGTTAAAAAAAAACCTGACCCCATTTTAAAAGTTTTTCAGTGTCGGTGTGTTTGAAAAGGAATTGTCAAATGACAGATGTGCTGAGTGAGTCACGAAATAGATATTTCCATAGAACTGATATCTCCTTTTTTTATTCCCCCCCCCCCAAGTTTTGTGGCATTACAACACTAATCTTTTGCATAATGTTGGATATTCATAATGCTTTGCGTGTAACTTCTGTATTGTTTGCTATTTTGGAAAGGTTAGACCCGCCTCATGTGGAATCTCGCAAGTTTTCTGGGCAGATTTTTCGTTCAGGTTATCTCGGATGATTCCCATGTGCAAGCCTCAGCCTTGCCCATTAAAATGTCATAAACTCAGCAGGCTACTGTATATTTAACTACAATTTTACAGAACTTGGCAACTCTGATTATCTTCATTATTATCTTTTTTCACTGGAGATCAATCAAGAAATTCGAGCTCCACTCGATTTAAGTGTGCATTTTAATGAGCCTTCCTACATGCACACTGAAATCAGGGCCTTCAACAGGTAAGCGCTTGTGCCACATTTTACGGGCACAAATTTGGACGACGAAATCCAATGGCAAAATATGCAATTACTCCTTAAACGTAATACTTGGAGAGAACTTCTCGTCTTTACACACGAAAAAATAACGAGAAAACATGCCTGAGCACTCGCGATCACCTACTTAATAAAATCATTTGATACTTTAAAACCCTGCCTTCGATTTTTCTTTAACGCCTTAGTTCAGATTTTATTGTTAATAAGGCAAAATAATGCCTTTGTTCAATGCTGCATTGTAATCAGAGGCTCATACCTCCATGATAAAAACATTTAAACGAAAGTGACGGCATGGGATTGATGGCCATGCACTTCCCATTATGTATGCCTATTTTCGTGACAAGATCTTGGGATCAGGGATGAAGTTAGGCCCCATACCGTTTGCAAATACACAAACTGGAACAAGAGGAAGCGTGTAAATCTGTTAATCTGATTGCTTTCAGCGAGAGTCCCCGCGAAGTTGGATCAATCAACGTAGAACGCAAGTTTCGATGGGAATGAGGTGTAAGTCTGGTTTCGGAAACGTAATCCCTCTGGGTGTTTTTCCAGAATTAATACAAAATTCTAACAGATCTATATCTTATCAAAGTGCTAAATTGAAAAACAGAACGGACTTTTCAAATGCTAAAAAGGACCAACAACATCTGACATGTACACAAAGTTTTCTTACAAAATTTTAAAAAACCTCCTATATTTCCTCATTACTATATACCATGAACTCCAGGTCAGATCCGCACCGCTTCTTTTCCAATATTTCAATATGAATAAGATTTTATTTCACTGTCAGTGTTCCACTTCTCAATGCAGATACACTAAGTACAAAATATAAAATGTTAAAAATATATGCTAAAAAGTGAAAAAAAAACAGCATAACTTCTACAATAATGGCCCGATCATGCTGATTTTCGAACTTGACCTGCATTTTATGAATATTCATCAGCTCTGTAACTATAAAGCCAAAAAGTAAAACTGCCCTCCACTTATCGTGTTTACAAGAAAAGTGCACGGCGACGGCATCGGCGACGACAGACGCAGGTGATGGCAATATGTACAGACATATCTGTGTCTGTACATAATGAAGAAACTGTCCTGCGTCATCTCTGAAAGCCAGGCTACACCTTTTAAGGTATAAAACTGTAATAGTTTTGAGCCTGAGGATGCAATACAGGGGCGGATTTAGGGCGTCTTCTGGGTCTTTCGGAAGACGGTCAGATTTTCAAGTTTACATTGACGGGTATCTAATTTTTTCTGTCGGAAGACGGTCAAAAATGGAGGACGGATCAACAAAGATAAATTGGAAGACTGTCAAAACATAACTCTGGATCCGCCCCTGCAATAATCAAAAAGACAAATGCCATTTCCGATTTGCGACGATGGATGATCAAAACTGAAAATAAATGATGGTAAAAGAGATTTTTGTTCCAAACTTTTTTTCTGTAGATAGATGATAGACCCATAATGAACTGATTTGATTTTTATAAGGATCATGTATTGTTTATATATAAAAAATCCTGACGTATTGACATTCTTAACGCCTGTGATAGAGGCTACGTGACTGCCTCAAAGACAGTGATTAATGACCACTTACGACTGTATAGAAATCTATTCCTTTGTAATTTATGACAATGAATGAATGAATGTTTACAGACGTGTTAAAAAACAGTTGCTTTCATGTCTGATAAAAAATTTGTTTCAGTGTCCATTACTTAGCTCTGCCGATCAATAAACAAGACAGCCGGCTAAAAATATATATTTCTGTGCACCACAAGGTGGCCTCTGCAATTTTGTTGCTACCACTCAATAGGAGTGTTCTGCTTTATAGAATAAATTAATTAATTTGATAACATGCAGTAGCCTATCTGTAAAATTGACAATTTACACATTGAAAAGATCGAAGCATTTATTTAACAGGCTAAATAAACTCTTATCTTATCTTATGTTAGATATCTTATCAGGTGCCTTACGTGCACGCGGTAAGCCACCAGTAAGGTAACATATTAAGAAGATTATTGCATGTTCTCATTTCTCATCAGCTCGTCTCATTAAATTGGATAGTGAGGTCATGTAAGTCATTAGTTTTATCAAACTGGCAGCGGTGAAAGTATGCCGCTGCATAAACTGAACTTTTAGCCTGCAAGCATACCTATATAAAACAACGCTCATTATGCAAAGCAAGAGAGTGATTAAATTACCAAGGGACATGTCACTAATCACGTTTTACTTTACAATTTCATGAAGTTATCGAAGTTATCATATTTTATCTTAACCAGCTGTTTTAATACAACATGCAACTAACTAAACCATTATAATTGAAAACAGACATATGAAGGGTTATCTGTCACGATGCAAAAATATAATGGGAAGGTCAGAGGTAGCTGGAGGGGGGGGGGGNGCACTAGATAAAATTTTGATATTACTTCATTGGTGATTTTATATTACATTGTTGATAATTCCTGATGTGGCTATTGTTAGATTGTAAATTTTAGATTTTTAAAGTATAAACTGAAATCATTGATTCCAAAAAAATGATCTTTAATGGACACTTTTGTAACTATAGCATTCAGTTTTCCTCTTACTTAAGCAGGTGTTTCACTGATTATGCTGATGGTTAATTTTCAACCAGTGACGTTATTGAATTTATTTACTGCAGGTCATTCGTTTTGATGGAGGAGAATTCCCTTCTTTGGCAGGAGAGTTCAACAGCATGGACATGATTCCCCCTGAGCAGTGGGATATGTTGGAGCAGTTAATTAGACAGACAAAGGGGTCTTAAGCCTGTGCAATACTTTAAACAACTTTCTAAGTATCATTTTTTTAGTGATGTTCAAAATGTTTAAAGATCAGTATTCAATAAATGTGAAGATTAATGCTTCATCAAATTAAGGCAATGTATTTATATACTAAAAGTCTGAACAGTTGTTAAAAAAAACATATAAATCATATCTTTCAACAATTTTCACACTTTAAATGTAAAAAATATTTTGTTTTAATTTAAGAACTATACATTTTGCATTTGGTAGACAAACAAAAATAAGTAATATGTGATGCCAACAATTAATTCAATCTATTAATTATTCAGAGCATAAAGAAGAGGGACAATCATTTAATGAACTACTTCTTTATTTTTCTTTCAAAAAAAAAAAAAAAATGCCTTAGCAAACATTCTTTTTTGCACTTGTAAATATTACATATGGATTTGTGTAATGTTGTGATTAGAAACACTTTCAGAATCTTATATTCAGAATCTTATGTTTATAAATTTTGTATTTACTGGATAAACTTCTTACAGTATTTAGTAGAAATTCCATAAATCTCAAGATAATTCTATGCACATTTCAGCACCGTGAAAACAACAAGAATTTTTTAACAGAATTTCAGAAATGATGACGCCACACAGTTGGCCTCTGGTTCAGAGTATGTTTTAGATGGGGTCATCTTATTGACAGTATGCAACTTTGCTTGGTAAAACCTTGATATCTAGAACATTTCAAAAACATGATTTGCAGAGCAACAAGTTATAATGAATATGATGGGTCTGATAAAAGAATGGCAGTTAAAAAAAGCCTGACCCTATTTGAAAAGTTTTTCAGTGTCCGTGTGTTTGATTGAAAAGGAATTGTCAAATGCCAGATGTACTGAGTGAGTCGCACAATAAGTGGAATTTTGCCATAGAACTGATATCTCCTTTTTTT